CGGGGCGGCCCCCCGCCGCCTCTGTTTGCTCTCAGAGGCGGTGTTGGCCTTCAGGCTGTGCCAGGTGTTTGGCCTTGGCTACATCGCTTTGTCTGGCTTTCCTCTCCCACTCTTGGCTGTTTGCAATCTCCCATGGGAGAAGACATCCTCTCAGACCGGCTCCCCCAGGAGCTTTTGCTCTGCTTTAACTCTTGCTTGGGGAGAGGCCGTGGTTCCTTGCTTGCCACGCAACCGTGTCCCTCACCGAGCAGGGCCACAAGACACCAGTCTGTAGAACAAAATGACTGAGCGATATATTCATTATTGCTAACGAACATGCCTGTACAGGGCCTTTGCAAGCTGTGCAGTGACCTGCCCCTGCGTCGGCCGGTTGCTCTCAAAGCATTCGTTACCAAAGTCTTATCAACCTGCGTTAGCAGGAGCAAAGCAAAAGCACCTCCGTGCTGTCCTACAGACGAACACAGAGGAGAGCCAAGGAGCTCACAGCATCTTTCCAGCCCATCTGAATCCCTTTGGTACACCAGCACCGGTGCCCCCAGTGCAGAGCCAGTTGTGGCGTTCACCCTGCTCAGTGCCCTTTGAGAAATGCTCAGCACGCTGCAGAATCCGGCCTGGTCCTTTTGCCAGCTGTTGTGTCAAGGAAAAATATTAAAGTCGTGGTCTGTCGCAGGAAAGAAATGTCTGTCTTGCAGTGCAAGCCCATGTCCGTCCCTTTTAACGTCCTTCCTGGGCCACATCCAGGCAGGGCTCAGCACTCTGCAGGGGAGGATCCGTAGCTTCTCCCTGCCTGCCCGAGGTGGGGGGAGCTGGTGGGATTTACCGCCTGTGGATGCGAAGCCACAGCCTCCGCCGCAGACCTGGGGAGAGATGGTGTCCGTCAGCCCAGGGACCCCCTCCCAGCTCCCCATCCTGCTGCCCGGCTGTCCCGGGGCCTGACACCCCACATCGTCCCCTGGGGCTGGTGGGATGCTTACGGTGGAGGCGGTAGGCGGTGGGGACCAGGGTCAGCAGGAGAACCAGGACGCTGGCGGCCAAGGGGACCCAGATCAGGGGGTTGCAGGCACCTGGAAAGCAGGAGGGGACATGGTGTGGAGCTGCCCCGTCAGCTCAGCATCCAGCATCATCCTGCCGCGGCAGCTTTGGGGGATGAAGGGTGGGGTGGGGACAGGTGAAAAGCAAGGCAGGTTGTCAGGAGGGGCGGAGGACATGACCATCGCCCTGGGGTATCCCTTGGAGGATGCATTACACCCCAAGGCGTTGCAGGGAACTTAGCTACGAGTCACGATAGCCTTTTTCATGGTGTCCTCTCTGGCACGGGAATTCACCGTGCCTGCAGGAGCGACGCTGCACCTGAAGGGGCTGCACACCCAAGGGACACCAGAGCTTAGGCAGAGCTAAATGGAAGGGCATCCTGGCCCCTAAACCCTTGTACATCCCAGGGAACCACTCCTAAAGGCAGAGGTCAGCTCCACCCAGGGTGGTGGGTCTGGGTGGGCCTGGATGCCCACCCCTGCAGGGTCACGTCGTGGCCGCCACCACCCCAGGACAAACTCCAGCTGAACCCTGGGGACCCCCAGGAGCTCAGCAAACCCCTTTCGCAAGGCAGCCTGAGCTGCCCCGGTGCCGTACCTTTCTTGCCAGCAGCTTTGCTTTTGGTTAAGCACCGCATGGGCTTTTTGGAGAGTGGTGCCTGAGTGCTCTTCGGAGGCGGAGGCAAAACATCAACTGGTGGATAAGGAGGAGAAAAGGATGGTTAATAAGGCACCAAGTGCAGTGGAGTCCCAAAGAGCAAGCAGGAGGGGCTGTAAATTTTGGCTTTTAAAACTAGCCCCGTCCAGGGACCCCCACAAAGGGCTGGGTCGTCCAGAGGGGCTGGGAGCTTGACCAGAACCTCTCAGTGGCCACAGAAGTTACCAAGAGCTTGTAAAAGCATTAATAAAACAATGTACCAGGCAAACAAGGGCAGAAGGTTAAGGCAGGGAAAAGAGAAAACCTCCTTGAGCTACATTTACTGCCAGGCACCATCTCATCAGCGTTGCATGAAATCACAGGTAATGGGAGATTTCAGTAGCACTGGGAGGTTTTAAGGGATCCATGGATCTTTTCTGTATTCAGATTGCTCTATTCTTTGCTTAAAGTTGGACTTTGTTTTTTGGTGATAAAATGAGGGCAGGATTTATTATCATGTATCTGAATTACAATGGAGTGCACTCATCTCTCTGTAAAGTTGGTCAGGAAAATATCTCAGTAATGTTATTAAATAGCTGTACATCTGACCGCTCAAACTCCACTTATGCAAAAGTTTGGGTGGTTCAAAACTACTTTTTTCTGCTTTTATCTAGGACTAAAATTCCTACGGAAACCACCGTTCTTTTACATGGAAAGGTGAGACATCAGGTGCCTGGGATTTATCTGGACAACTTCTCTCTTACATTATAATAGACTTAAAGAAAAGGAACTTAAAGACAATTTGTTTTTATCATGTGTACTAAAGGAAAAAAAGAAAATATCTAGCAAGGCCTGAGTCCTTGTAGAGCACCTGCTGGTGTTTAGTTTCAAATTGGAGTGTCCTTGATCATGCTGAATTTCAGCCCTGGCTTTCATGCTTTGCTTTGCACATAGATATGTGCCCAGTTGATAAAAACCAGTTCTCTTTTATCTTAAACCACTTTTTCTTGGAGCCGGCAAGAATCCAAAAAGGATTTCTCAGCCAGCTCAAGGTGCAGGGCATATTTGCAAAAAAACCAGAAAGGCTGGGACACTGGGGATGATTTAGAGCCAGCAGCTGTAGCTGCATCTTGGTTAAATAAGTTATTTGTCTCCCTAAAAGCCTGCAATGAAAGGGCTGAATCCTACGTCAAACACATTAGTTTTTCTACACCACCTCCTGCTCGGTGGTCAAGGGGAAAATGGGCTGAAAAGAGCTGTTATATGACCCAGGGTCTGTAAAGCATCGCACAATGCCACCCGCAGATAGCTCTGATTTCTGGCTGGAGCTCCCCAGTGATGGTGGGCTGTGGGCTTTGAGGAGTAAGTCCTAATTCAATCCTTTATGTGAGGGACAGACTTGAAACTTGCAGTCAGACCCACCCCAGCGATGCGAGGGGTGATGTCCTCTGGCCATGATGCTGCCCTTGTCACTCGGAGGAAGGGTAAGGAAGAACCGGGGTGTGGGAGGACCCGGGAGCTGAGCAGGGCATCTATCCAGCCTCTCATCCAAAGTACCATGGGGGAAAAGAAAAATGCAGGGCATGGCAATATTGGGGGCTGAGTGTCTTCCCATGGGAATCCTAAGACGCTAGGACCAACGTGGTGCTCAAGGCATGACCACAGCAGAGCAACCGCTGATGGCAAAAGCGCTATCGCATGCAGCTGACCTAAAATATAGCTATTTTTTGTATTTTCTGACTTCTCATAGGTCTCTTCAGGAAAACCCCAGAGCCCCAGCTGTGCATCTCAAAATTGGGAAGGCTATGCCAACACACATCACCCCTTACCCAGGAGACCTCATCACAGCCTGTCAGTGGCACATTTTGGAGCCCCGGGGGTGATGCTTACCCACACCGAGCCATGTCCCGCTGCCCAGGAGGAGCTGGAAGGACTGGGAGACCGAGCAGTAGTAGGTGCCGTTGTCCGAGGCTTGGAGGCGGCTGATGTGCAGGCTGTAGGAAGTGTGGGAAGTCGCTCCATGGACACTAAACTTGTCCTGGCTGATATTTGCGCCATACGTGGCTTTGCCCAACAGGTTCAAAAATACCAAGAACTCAAAATTTTGCCTCTCCTGGTTCCAGCGGTACCAGTACACCCCGGCATGCTCCTTATTCAGCTCACAGATGATTTCTGTTTTATTGTTAGTTTGGGCTAAAATATGCTCTGGAGTCTGGGATAAAAGTAGATTTGCACAGAAACCTAAGAAAAAAGAGACAGGAATGCATAGTTATTATTTTCTTTTCATTACTTTTCTTCCATGCTAAGTACAGATTTTCTTTGTGGGTTTAATAAGATCAAGTAGTTGGAGATCAGGGGATCACATGAGCAAGAAACAGGACCATCTTTATCAGGATGCTCCCATATTCCTTCAGAGGCCTTTTTGGGTTCCCCAGCTATTTTTTCGTCAAGCTGAGTTATACAGGTAGAGTTTGCCCTGTAAAAACTCATCTAGGAAGGAGGCTTAGTGGCAGGAAGAGGGTTGGAGGGATGATTTTGAGGGTGCCCTTGGAGCTGTATGTGCAAGGAAGGACATCCCCACTTGCTGTTGTGGATGCTCTTCTCCTGCCCCCCCTTTTCTCTCTCATTTTTCAGAGAGGCTTCACCTCTCTTTCAACAGACTTTTTTTGAGCCTCTTAACTTATTTGCCAGATTTTTGTTCTAACAGATGCAACACTGATAAACTTCATTGCAGGTGTAGGAAAAGACAAAAAATGTGCAAAACATCTCAAAATGAGACAATTTGATATTAGTTTTCAGACGACATTATTTTCATATGAATTTTGAGACCTGGGGAAGGAGAGGGAGTGAGGAGTAGCGGTGGAGTTGAAAGCTTTGATTTGGCATCGAATCGCCCTGTTTGGGCTTTGCAGCTTTTGTGGAAATTATCTGAGTCGTGTTTGGCCTGGGCAGACGTGAGCGGTGTCTGTGTGCGAGCGAGGATGTGTCCTTGTGAAAAGGATAACAGGTGACTTGTGATCCTTTCTGTTCAGCAAACAGTCCTACAAAGCTGCAGATATTCCGAGACTGAGTGAAAAACAGCCCTCTGAAGATAAGGACGCTCTCGCTTCCTCCATCTGTTTCCCAGGCCTGTTTTACAGCCGTGCAAAAAGCTCAACAAAACACTTTTTTGGGCTTTTTTTACTTTAGAATGTCCCCATTCCTTCAAAATCCCAAAGCTGCTTACAGTGCTTGTTGCAAACAGCCTCATGCAGCCCTGCAAACCCAGTGGTGTGATGTCCCCTATGTCCCCGATAGTGACGGACAGAGGAGAGGGCTCTGGTGACTGACAGAGGTCCAGAGCTTCCCTCCATCCCCACACCGATGACCCCATCACTGCCGGCGTGCTGCAGAGATGAGCAGGCTTCAGCCCTAATATTGCAATGCCGAAATTCGGGCGTTGCACAGCAGCCACAGCATTTCACCACATCCTTTGGTGCTGAGACAATACAAATGTCTCCTTCTTATTAAAATACATAATTCTCAGGTTTTGGAGTGCAATCATCCCAAACTTTGGCAAACACCTGTGTGGTTTTTTAGGGGATGAAATGTGTGTGGTCATAGGGCATGGTGGCTTCAGGGTCTCCTTGACTGCCCTGAGGTCTGGCTCTGCTGGGCATGTGAAACTTAACCCCTCCATGAAAACCTTTTCCTTGAGCTGCTGGAGAGATTACTAGATGAATCAGAAGAGATGAGAAGGGATCCTGGAAAATGCTCAACTCAGCTGTGAGCCAGTGGTCAAGCTCCAGTGGGGTGAGCTGGGACGGAGCCAGAGCAGAAAAGCTCATCCTCTGCCACACCTTCACCCCCCCCCAAACCTCCCTGTTCCCTTTCCCAGTGTATATTCTCACAGGGGACCACGGGGAATCGGGTTTGTTTCCATGCGCTTGGCCAGACCAGCCTGCAGAAGCTCGAAAATGGTCCCTTTTCCCTTTGCACGTGAGGAGAAAACTCTAATTTATCAGGGTTTTCTCAGCGGGGACCCAACCGTATGGATCTATAGGATATTATTACCTGTATTTAGGTGTTGATAAAGCACCTTGGGCTGTTTGCTGCCAGATCAGCCATGTTACGCCATGGCTGGATGACCCTCATACGGCATGAACAAGACACCCTGCAGTCCTGACAGCCTCTAGCAAGGACCCAGGCTGGGCAATGTCTTGGGGGATCAACTTGAGCCACCACCCTCATATGTACATTTAACGGGTGTTTCAAGCTCTCAACGCTTTCCACCTAAGAACCGATGGCACAATTTTTCCTGTAAAGTGTAATTCTACCATTTTGCCGTGACATCAACTGTATATATTTGGTCCAGACCTCCTGCAACCTGTCTTCAATAAGCAGAAGACAGCATGGTTTTATAACACCCAGATACCAACTGTGGCCCTTGGGAATCATTCAGTCTTTGGATAGATTTAGAAGAAAATTTGATGGGATGTTTATCGTCTTCACGTTACACAGGCAGTGTAGATAGGTGCTACTTTAGCTTCATCAGCAGCTTCCCACAGTCCATCTGCACTAAGAGGGTGCAGTAAAAGCAAACTCTGCGGTGTCTATACCATTTTATATTGCACTATAAATAGAATAGAATAGAATAGAATAGAATAGAATAGAATAGACTACTTCAGTTGGAAGGGACTCACAATGGTCATCTAGTCCAACTGCCTGACCACTTCAGGGCCGACCAAAAGCTAAAGCATGTTATTAATGGCATTGTCCAAAATTATGCAGTGATAGGTAATAATATCCCGTAGGTCTATACTATGCCTGTGTATTTAAACTTCCATCATCCAGATGCTGCGCAATGCACCCCACGTGCTGCAGCAGGGTGGTGGGGAGGCTCCAGCATGATTTTAGGTACCCTCAACCCTTAAGAGACGTATTCCTCTTACCTGGGATCTGGAGGCAGATGCAGAGATGGAGCCACAGCCGGGCCATGGTCGGTGGAGTCAACAACGGAGGGTTTTGTGCCAGCTCCCCCTTTCCACGCACAGTCACCTCTTGGTGGTAGGGCTGGCTTCACCCCAGGAGGTTCTTCCTCGTCTCGGCGCAGATGTCTCGCCGACGGCTGCCAAAGAGCATCTGACACAGCAGCGCCTGGAGCCTCAGCCTGGCAGCTTCTTCTGCGCCAAGCCCCAAATCCAGGTGTGCATCAGGGCAGCAGCCCCATGCACTTCTCCAGCATTGCATGAGATCCCCCAAAATCCCCTTTAGGAAGAAAAAAAAAGAAAACTCATTGATTTTTAATTATGATTTCTTCATACTTCATCAGCTAGTTTTTCCTCCTTTTAATCCAGCTCCGTGCAATTAAAAAATTACAAATTTAGGAGCTTGGCATTAAAAATAAAAGCAGGAAAGGATGAATTTTGGCTGTTTTCTCCTCCGTTGAAATAAAAAAAACATCCAAAATAAGGAGAAGATGCAATTTGAGCTGTGGGGTTGTTTTCTTCAGCAGAACCCTTAGCGGGAGGTGTTTTCCTCTGGGCCTGGAAAATGCCGAATGCCAAACTAGCTCGCCACAAAGCAGAGGTGTGAGGCATCACAGAAAACTTTGAAGCCAAGAGCAAGAAACCTCAAACAAATTTAGTGGCTGAAAAACCGCAAAAATAAGGAAATTCTGCTGGGGCTCCCCACCTCGCAGTGGGCACTGCTTTGGTAGCTGCAACACTGCACAGCCCTTATGCAGAAATATTTAAGTGATAGATAAAATAGCAGAGTGGCTTTGAAATGTCTTCGAGAGGGAGAGATTTGGAGCACTCAGGGTTTAGGATTTGAAGAGTCAAATACGTGATGTGAAATTACAGGGGTGAACTGGTGTCAGCAGCCTTCAATATTTCCATGTCGGGGAAAAAAAAAATCTATTTATTAATTTTATTTATTCACTGCCCCTTTGACTACTGAGCAGGATTCGGTTTTCTTTTATGCCCACGTCATGCAGATGCTCGTGGTCCTTACAAAGCTTCAGCATCTCCCCTGGCCTGGCTCCGAGCGAGGGGGGATTTCCTGGAGGGGTCTCATGTGGGAGCACAGAGAAACCTCCCCCGGGGTTTGAGTTGGTAGATGAATAGGAAAAATTATTTTGCATCTCATGCAGTGCAATTTTTTTTGTCCATTTTGTACCAGATTTTTCCATGCTGCTGTAACACAGCCCCTCCCCATTTCTGTTTAAAATAATTTCCTGCTCGAAGCTGGTTGCTAACCACCAAAAGCCTTGCCACAGAGGGCTCGGCTGCTAAAATTTAGGGTCGACTGAATGGCTCCTTAACTCTTTCCTGGCAGGTTAGGAGAAAATTATTTTAGTGCTTTCAAACATATTTCAGTGCTTTTAAGCTCTTGTTGTCAGAGCTGAGCCCCTGACACAGGGTACGGCAACCCTTGCTTTTCCCTTTTTTACCCCCTGCTCACCTTTCCCCTTTTATTTCACATCACTCCCAAATTGGGACCTCCCCAGAATGGGGTGTAGGAACCTCTTTTTTGGGGGTGGGGTTGTTTAATATGAGAAATGCTACTGCAAGTGAATTTTGCCTTTATCCCCATGATGAAGTCGGTGAGCTGAGCCTGACCTCCCTGCATGCTGCAGTGGCTGCGTCCCCCTTTTCTCACTGCTGCTGGCACCTGCAGCATCCTCTGGCCTCCTGGCCAGGACCAAAGTGGTCCCAGAGGTGGCTTTTGTCATCGTTACAATCTTGGACATAGGGCATTACACTGGGTACCAAATGCTGCTGCAAGGCTGGTGACACTGGGTTGTCTAAGCAGATAGATTGGGTCATCGAAGCAGATACTTTGGCTTGGGAGGATTCCCCAGGCCATTATAGCAGCTTTAGAGATGCTTCCCTGCAGTGCTTTTACCTATAGGGTGTCTCCTATGGAAAGAAAAAGGAATATTTGCAATGTAAAAGCATAGTGTGTGTGCTGGAACAGGGATTAATTTTTAATTTTTTTTGAAGCTGCTGTTTATGCGCAGTTGGGCTATTTACCGGCAGCCAAGCTGTTCTCAGGACTGGGTGTTGCTCCTATAAGAAAATATTTTGGAGGTGGGATGCCTTTGTCTGGCAGCCCATCGCCAGCAAAAGTAAAAGCACTGTGGGAACATGCAGGAGAGCAGCTGCTGTTTGTAACATCCCCACATTGTTTGGGGCTGCTCTCCTGGGAAGAAAATGGGGGAGGAAGAAAGGGTGTAATTGGAACTGATCTGTTAACACCAGCAAGATTTGTTTGTGACCTTGCTGGGGAACAGCGGCTCCTAATCACGAGTGTTTTGGCTCACGGCTGGGCCAAGACGGGGGGGGGGAATTGCCGAATTTTGGTGTAATTGTGTTATTCACCTGCACAATTTCTAGGGGGAATTTATTCTTTTTCTGCAATGAAAGACAACCATCCCAGTCCCCAGCACAGCCAACTCCCTGCCCCACCTTGGTGCTCACCTGTGGGTCTCCTCCCCGCCCATCCCAGGGGAAAACATCCCCTCTTCTTTTTCTCAGCCCACATCCCGTGTACCTCACCACACCGACACTAATTCCCTGCACTTTCACCAGCTTTGTCACTTTTTTCAAATTTTATTTTCTCCCTCTGATGGGTTTCTCACAGCAAAGTGTTTGCTCTTGGGGGGTTGGAGCAAAGCATGGGCGTAGAAGAAAGGGGTCTACAGACAAGAAGCAGGACCTGTCTGGGCTTTCATCTCTGCTCAACTCCCATGTTGCAGCAGAGGTAATTGCAGCTGGGCTGTAAACGCCAGGCTGGAGGAACAATTTCCATAAACCCAAGGAAAAATCCATTCCCTCCGTGCTTTCTGGGATACAAGGGCTGACTTTTGGGATCAGGGAGGGCTGCTCAGCCTCAGGTCTGCTCCAAAACAGCCAGTACAGCAGGACCTGGAAATAAGGGCCTGTTGGGGACAATGAGCTGCTGGATGGATACTCCCCAGGACTCGAGTAGCCACGGGTGAACATTTTTTTTGTTTTTTAAATCTTTTTAAATGATTTTATTCCAGGGAAGGGTGTAGCTTTTGGAGTATTTCATTAGGGTGAAAAAGCAGCAATGAAAATGATAGCCTTTTCACTGAGTAAGATGAGTACTACCTTTTTCTTAGTGTAATGGCAGAAAAAAAACCAAGTGGGACAAGTTTTCTAAACTGCTCCAAGCTAAGATGTGGTTTGTAGGACGAGGCTGGGGGGCTCCATCTGCCTTTGCAGGTGCAGATTTACAGCTGTACTTCAGCTGATGCAATATCACATTTGAGGCTCCTGACACGTCGTGGAGTACCCCTGAGGTACACGCCAACATGCGGCGGGCTGGTTTGTGGCATGGAAAAATGCTGCTTTTGAAGTCCAGAAGCCAAAATGGATCTAAACTACAAATTGTATGAATTCTCCTGCCATCTCAGCTCCCCCAGTGAGCACTTTGTGCTTGGAGGGGGAGTCTGGGGGGGACCGTGTGTGTTACAGGTGTCAGGGGTGAGCCCCACGTGCGATGTCCCCCCAAAACCCGTGTGCTAATGGTGTGTGCAGCAAGTGAGGAGGCCATTGGGGGACTTTGGGATGGTGGATGCTGAGGGGACAGGCTCCAGCTCTCCCTCTTCAGGGCACTTGGTGCAAGCAGAGGTTAGCGTGAGCGAGTGGCAACTAATCCTGGGCCCCTGCAAAATAGATAAGGGGCAGAGCAGCTGCTCCCATGTGATTTCAGCCTCCCTAATCAGTGCCAAAAAGGATAAGGAAAGACAAGGAAAGTGTCCTTGGGAAGACAGGGGGAGGGATGCAGCACCTGCAGGAGGAAAAGCCACCAAAGAAGTAAACAGGGGCGTTATCAGCCCCAAACAACGACCTGCCACGGCTATAAAAAGCCACTGGAGTGAGACCTCGCGAGCACCTTGACCTTAAAGGTGCCGAATCCACCGGAGCTCCGCAGAAGCTGTCTCCAGGTCCCCGCGACTGCCAGGACATCCAGCCAAGGATTGGTGAGATCTTATTATTGGGGTCCTACTACGCCTCTGCTTCGCTTCTCCCGGTCCCACGTCCCTTCCCCGTCCCTTCCCCGGGAGCCGGTGGGTCGCGGCAGCTGCCCGCTCTGCCACGGCCACCCGTCCCCACCTTCCCCTTCCCTTGCTACCAGGCTCGGCATCCCCCTGGGGGGGCTTTTTGGAGGGGTGGGTCGCGGGGTCGCAGCCTTCCTCTGCGGGTGGGTCAGTGGTGCTGGTGTTATGGTAGCTTTGCCCTGAGACAGAGCCGTCTCGGATCGTGTTCCCCTCACTATGATGACCGACATCGTTAGCAACTGGAAGCTGGAGCAGTTTGTGCTCCAGAAGTGTCTCCCCCCAGTTTGGTCCCCGGGGGCCTTCCAGGGCCCGGAGGCATACCAGCAGCTGTGCCAGCAGTGGGAGAGCTGGTCGGAGGAGACCAAAAAGCCCAAACCCACAAACAAATGCAAGAAGCGAGCGGCTTTGCAGGGTTTGCTGATGGTGGGCAGGGAGTTGTCCAAATTGCTGAAGGAGGCTCTTGAGAATGTGCAGACGCTGGAGCAGGCCAAGGGTGAGCTCAAAATGCAGGTGGACAACCTGCGGGCAGAGGTGCAGGGTTTGTGCGGGGACTCTCTGCGGAATGCAGTGGAGATCACCCGGCTGGAGAGCAAGCTGGGGTACGAGAAGCTGAAAACAGAGGAGCTGGAGAAGGAGGTCGGGAAGTGGATCGGGGAGACCCACGACGCCCAGAGCGCGGTGCGGGCGGTCCTGCAGGACATCCAGCGGGACCGGGGCACCGGCCCCGATCACAAGGTATGCCACGCCAAGATCCAGGAGCTGCAGGCAGAACTGGGGGTGTCGAGGGGCATCGTGGCTGCCATCCAAGGCAAGAGGAGCCGGTTCGGGAATGGTGAAGGGGAGGACTCCCTGGACCCGCACCCACCCCACTACGACTATGAGGATGATGTGTGGGGTGCCAATGGCCCCACCAGGCCATCTCCCTACGCTCCTCTGCGGGAGGAGATGTCCCAGCTGCAGGGAGGGGAGGTGGAGGCTTCCAAAATTAAAAAGAACCCCCCTGATGAGCCAGCCAGCCATGGCCCGCTCCAGGCCATAGACACCAACAGGCCTGTGCTCTGGTTTACGCCTGAGCAGCTCAAAACAGTGGGGAAGATGCTGGGGCCATTGACAAAAGATACGGCAGTCAACTGGCTGTCCCGGGCCCAGCGGCTGCCCAGGTGCCAGGGCGGCAACTCGGTGAGTGACCTGATAGACGTGGTGAGAAAGTGCATGAAACCAGACGACTTCGCAGCACTGCCAGGGGACGTGCAGATGGGCAACGTCCAGGACATCGGGGACGTCCAGTTGGCCGTGCTGAAGGTGTTCTTCCCGGAGGTCAACCCCTTAGTGCTCTTCCACCAGGAGAAGCAAAATCCCGAGGAGCGGCCGGATGCCTACGTTAACCGTAAGAAGATGCTCTACCAGATGGCCGGGCTGCCTGGCTCAAAGGACTCCCCCCTCGATTTTGACAGGCCCGAATTTAAGGAGCCACTGGTGGTGGGGCTGACCCCTCCGTTGCGGGTGATTGCTGGTGGGGACGCGGCCAGAAAGCCACTGTCGGAGCTAGAGCAGATCCTGACACAGAATTTTGAGCTGCAAAAGCAGGCGTTCCCGGGGTACATGCTGGGGGGGAAGAAAGGGAAAGCCTCGGCCATGTCCTTCCAAAATGCGGGGGTGAGAAAAATGCAAGGAGACAACCGAAAAGATCCTGATGGCAAGGGCGGTTCAGGGAAGGAGAACCAGCAAGGGCTGAGGTTTCAGAAGTCCAACCCTTGGCGAGCTGAGCTGAGGAAGCGCTTGATAAAATACGAGAAGCAGGAGGATATCGATGGCTTGCCGGACGCGGAGCTCTTCCAAAAACTGGCCCTGCACGAGGCCAAAAAGCACAGCAGCTCCAACCCGATTGACCCGGGGTCTAAGGCTCAGCAATAGGGCTGCCAGGCACCTGCATCGCCCCTTTTTGTGGCACCGATTAAGACCGATTCATGGGGGCGCCTGATAGTTGATATAACTATTGGAGGAGGGGTGCTTGGACAAGTGATGTTAATTGATACTGGTGCCTCTTATTCAATTCTGAATATGGTTCCTAGTGAAGCAGGGCTCTTCCAAACCTGTGAAATTATTGAACTGACAGGGCCGAACGGCCAAAAATCATCAGTGCCGTTCACAGGGCCCGTAAACTTTGAAATTGGGACTGCCAAAGGGTCTGAAAAATTTGGGAAAATGGAAATGAAGGGAAAGCCAGGAATTTTAGCCATCTCCGCGCTGACAAAGATGGGGGTGGTGGTGGACCTGGTAAACCAAGTACTGTTACACTGCCCCCAAAGTGATGCGCCTGTCATCCCGGCGAGTCACAGGGTGATGTCGGTGAAAGCCCCCGAGCTCCTGGTCCATCCTGAGTGGGAGCCCCGCGTAAAACGGGTCACGGAGCAGTTCCCCCAGGTCTGGGCAAGGAGCAAGCTGGACTGTGGGCAGATTGACGCTGTCGTGGCAGTCAAAGGGCCAGATCCCCCTCCTCAGCCACAGCCCCGGTACCCGGCTGAGGCTGAGGATGGCTTGTGGGACACAGTCAAAACCCTTTTGGAGCAGGGGGTGCTGGTGGAGCAGCAGAGCACCAGCAATGCCCCAGTGTGGCCCCTGCGGAAAGCCGATGGGAAAACGTGGAGGCTGACGGTTGACTTTGGCGCTCTGAACCGCGTCACCCCTCTGCGGACCTCTGCGGTGGCCAAGTACCCCGACATCATGGCGGTCATCTCCCGGGGGTCCAAGTGGTTCTCAGTGCTCAGCCTGACCAGCCCATCCTTCGCCATCCCCTTGCACCCTGAGTCCTGGCGCAAGTTTGCCTTCACCCTTCGAGGACGGCAATTTGCCTTCACCAGAGTCCCTCCAGGCTTCCACAACGCTCCCGCCATCTGCCACGCTCATGTGGCGAGGATGTGGGAGAAGCTCGGCCACCGGGAGAGCGTGCTGTCCTGCGCCGGTGATGTCCTCATCCACACCCAGACAAAGGAGGAGAACCTGGACGTGCTGGCGGAGGTGCTGGAGGCTGTCCAAAAGACGGGCTTCAGGGTCAGCCCCACGAAGGCCCAGCTGTGCTGGAAGGAGGTCTCCTACCTAGGGGTGACCCTGGGGGAGGAAGGGCGCTCGCTGGAGAAGCAGAGAGTCGAGCTAATACAGAGGGTGTCAGCGCCGGCTGATGCCACCACCCTGAGGTCCTTCCTGGCTCTCCTGAGGTTCTCCCGGGAGTTCGTTGAGGGCTATGCGGAGAAAGCTGCCCCCCTCTGCCACCTCCTGAAGAAAGACACCACTTGGGAATGGGGGCCGGAGCAGGACGAGGCGGTGAAAACCTTAAAGGAGAGCGTGGCGCGAGCCCCCATGCTGGCGCATCCCCAGGGCGACAGACAAAAAAATGCAGCTGGCCAGCGCGGGGAGGGGGCTGCAGGCCACCCTGGGCCAGCAGCACGGTGCCCATCTCCTCCCCGTTGCCCACGCCTCACGCCTCCTGACACCGGCCGAGCAGCAGTTCACCAGTTATGAGAGGGAGGTTTTAGCCTTGACCTGGGCCCTGCAGCACTGGGAGTACCTGGTGGGGTCAGCCCCGGTGCTGCTGAGGACCTCCCGTGCCCCAGTGAGGTACATCTTGTTGGGGAAGGGGGATGAAGGTCCCCTGCGCTGCCCCAGGATGGCCAACTGGGCTTTGGCGTTGACCAACAAGGACGTCCCTGGGGACCCCTCGCCCGGTGCCTATGGGGTGGTGATCAGTGGAGAGAGGGACGGGGAGGAGCCGGGGGGTCCACTGGCCGAGCCCAAGCTGCGGCGGGCGCCCCTGTTTGAGAGCAGCCTCAGCCTGGCAGAGGCTAAGGAGAGAGGCTATGTCGTGTGGTTCGTAGACGGGTCCAACTACCATGAGGAAGGGGTGTCCTACACAGGCTACGCCGCCGTCAACCTGGGCACCGGGGAGGTGGTGAAGGGGAAGTGCCTGCCACACTCCATCCAGGCTGCCGAGCTGGTGGCCGTGACGGCCGCCCTGGAAAACACACCGGCAGACCAGCCCCTGGCCATCTTTTCGGACTCGGGTTGGGTGGTGCGGGCGGTGCTGGAATGGCTGCCACTCTGGAGGGAGAGGGACATGCACTCCGCTGACGGCAAGCCCGTCACCTATGCCAAAAAGCTGCTGTACCTCGCGAGGCTGGCGGAGCTGAGGGTGCGCCCGGCCCAGATCATTAAGGTGAAGGCCCACAAGAAGGGAACGGAGGAGGCCAAGTGGAACAAGGAGGCAGACGCCAAAGCCAAACAAGGCGCGAAGGAAGGGCTGATGTGGAAGGCCAGCAAGCCCTCCGAGAACGGCTCCATGTCAGTGGCTCCCAGCAGACACTGGGAGAGTGTGGACCTCCTGGGTTTGCAGGCGCAAGACCCCAGCATCCGGGAGTTAGTGCAGGGTGGGGAGTATAAAGGGTGCAAGGTGTGGAAGGATATCTCAGGGCTGGTGCTGGCACGGAGGGAGGGGGCGGACTTCCCAGTCTGGGTGGTGCCTGAACTTGTCCGGACGGAGCTGGTGGCCCTAGCTCACGAGCAGGGGCATTTGGGGATGGACAAGACCATGGTGAGGCTGCAGGGTGCTGGGTGGTGGCCTGAAATGAGAGAGGACGTGGAGAGGTATGTCAGCAACTGCCTGACATGTGCAGCCAACAATCCTGATGCCAAAACGGCCAAAGCCCTCCTGGGCCACCAGAGGATTTCTGGGCCATGGAGCAAGTTGCAGATGGAGTTTATCGGCCCTTTGCCCCAAACAGCCCAAGGGAACAGGTATTGCTTGGTGATCAGCGATAACTTCACCAAGTGGGTGGAAGCGTTTCCGGCTCGAAACAACACAGCCAGCGCAACCGCAAAGATCCTGGTAGAGCACATCTTCTCACGGTGGGGCGTCCCAAAGGAGATTGACTCGGACCACAGCCAACGCTTTGTCGGAGAAGTCACAAAAGGGGTGTGCCAAGCCCTGGGCATCAAGCAAAAGCTTCACATCACAGGGCATTTCCAGAAGCCTGGCTCGATGGAGGGGCCAAACCAACGGCTGAAGACGGCACTGAGGAAGCTCGTGAACCAGCAAAGGAAAGACTGGGATCAGAAGCTCCCGCTGGTCCTGCTGGCATTACGGGGGGCCGTGGCATCTCATGCACCTTCTCCCCAAAAGGTGCCTCCTGCGAGAAATCCAAAGCTGCCAGGACACTGGTGGCAAAGAGGGGAGCCGCCCGATGAGCTGCAGCCCCGCGTGCTGACAGACAGGTGGGTCCAGGCCATGCTGAGGACCGTGTCGGCTATGTACCACCAGCTAGCCTCGGTGCAGGACACCAACATCCCCAAGATGGATAAGCAGTTGGGAGTGCTGCTGCACCCCGGGGAGTGGAACACAGGGGATCTGGTAACGTATCGGGGGGTTAGAGAGAAGAACCAGGTGCTAGGACCCCAATGGATGGGGCCGGTTAGGGTTGTGAACAAGGCCAGCCCCTCCATGTACCAGGTAGAAATCAGAAAGGGGGCAAAAAGGCAGGAAAAATGGTTCCATTCTTCGCAATTAAAAGCATGGAAGGGAAATTAACGGGGCTGGAGAGCCCGTCTTGCTTATGTTTTGCAGATAAAGGAAAATGGAAGGCGATTGTGACCAGCGGGAAGGGCGAACTTCGTGGCATCACCAGCCCTGTTTGCGCTGCGGGGAAAATGCTTTCAAATTTCTGGTTGCAGGATTTGCTTTGCTTTCTGGTATGTGCATAGCGCTGAGCAGCCAACATGCTCAACTAACCCATCAGCATCTCAGACAAAAAGTCAGTCGTTCCCACTTAGAAAGGCACCCCGACACATGGGCCACAGCCCAGCACAGGGTTAGAAGGTACACAAAAATTGGGACCGATTGGCCTTGGTCTCAAGCTCACATAAAATATACAGGAAGCATGGGATTAAATTCTAACAAAGGTTTAAATTTGTCAACGGTGGTTATGCACGGAACGGAGGTGTACTTGGAAAATGAGTGGAGCTGGGATAGCACAAACAGACTTCCACAGCTGCTGGGGAAGGTGGGACAAGAAATAAAGGTAGGGTGCAGGGTAATTAATGGATCCACTCACCAGCGAGTAACTCAAATCTCCGTAACCGAAGTAAAAACTAAGAAGAATCAGAAAAAAAACTGTGCTGTGGAAAAATTGGACTGTTGGTGCAATTTTACTTTGGTCCAGCCAGTCTTTGTGGTCTGCCTCTGGGCGCACAACAGCGTGGGGCTGTCCTTTAAATTCAAGATTAACACCACGATGCGCTCCTTTGCTGCCATTAAGATCTCAAAGTGCCATTTTTTGGCCTGGCATGCAGCTCAATACGCTGAAGTTGGAAACCAAGTAAAATTGGAAATTAAATACTCCCAAGAAAGTATAACTGACCCGATGCAAATCGATGGCACCACCGTGACTATTGCTGCCCCTAATGGCCGCAAATGGGTCGTCCCAGTAAACTGCCTCCACGAGAGCAAAATGCTTAATAGATCTGAATTAGGCCCAGAGGTTTCATGGTATAATCAGGATTATGGGCGCTGCCCACACCTGATCATAAACCTCCAGGTGTGGTGTCGAGGAAACCTGAGCATAGAAATGTCCCCTGAGCTTGGAGGAAAGTGGTGGATAGGAGGCCCTGAAGGATTTAAAAAAGAGTTTACCATCATTGCTGTTTTGCGCCCCTTTGTTTCCAAAATAGGCCCTTATGTAGTCAAGCAAAATCACATCCAAGAGCTGTTGACCGGGCCTGTTCGGTCACTGAAGAAGGTAGTGTTGTCTCTATCCACTGTTAATATTTCATCCATCAGACCGCACTGTAGCCCCTTTCTATCCACCCTCAACACCGGCTGGCTGGCGTGGCTCCATAGCCGCTCCATCCAGCAGACCCGGGCCAGGAGAGACCTGCTGGCCACGGCGCTGGGAGGAGGAGGCGCTGGGCTAGGAGTCCTCAACAGCATGAATGTTGAGGTCTTGGCCAACAAGTTGGAGGCTGTCACCTCAGGTGTGCAAGGTCTCCTCAACCCCCTGAATTCATCCCTGGCCAGCCTCGGGATGGGGCAGTGGCTTGTGTCAGAGGTGTTGCCCACATGGGAACAAATAAGCGAGAAAGACCATGAGGTGCTGCTTCAAGCACTGGGCATCGAACAAAATAACGTCTCTCTTGCTCTTAGTTGCATCCAGGCCCAGATGTGGGTGCAGAGTGTCGTTGCAGGTATCCTGAGAGATGGCGACAACGGCATCCTCCCCACCGAGATCCGAAAGATCGTGTGGGACTCGGCCACAG